TTAGCATACTTGGTTTTTTTTTTTTTTTTTTTTTAAATATATTTTATTGATTTTTTACAGAGAGGAAGGGAGAGAGACAGAGAGTTAGAATCATCGATGAGAGAGAAACATCGACCAGCTGCCTCCTGCACATCCCCCACTGGGGAAGTGCCCGCAACCCATATACATGCCCCTGACCGGAATCGAACCTGGGACCCCTCAGTCCGCAGGCCGATGCTCTATCCACTGAGCCAAACCGGTTTCGGCAGCATACTTGGTTTTTTAAAAAGCCATTTTATAGCTATTCATTGGAATTTCAAGTTTGAGACTTTTTTAAGTATATGAGAAAATGACAATATAATTTTGATCTATATAAATTTCATTCATCTTGACTATGTTGCTGTTATATGTAGGTATAAGTAATATTTTGTCATAATCTATGTAGAGGATACAAAAATGATTTGCTATCTCGTTAAAATGAATATACTACCAAAAATCACATATCTAGTCTGCTAGAGCCAAACAGAGTTAATAGTTTCTCAGCAGTGGATTAGCAAATGAAAAGAAGTGCTCTGAACTCTGTCGAGGAAAATAGGAAGTGTCAAGAAATACTCCCATCCCTTCCCCCACTTTTTCCTCCAAGCTTTTAGATCTTTGTGTGATGGAGCTCCTTTGGTGATACCCTAGCGACTGTCTCTGAGTTTTTGCTCCAAGCAGCAGAGCAAACTGGAGATTTCTGGTGCCAGCAGCCTGCCTCTCTAGCTCCTGCAATCCTCCCTGACCTTCCCTTGGGCATCCATCTCCTACTGATTTTTTTCATAAGCAGAGAGGGTAAGTGAGCCCCTACTCTAAAATATTAACTTCTCTATCTATCATTACACCATTCTGGTTTCACTTCTTAGGATTTTTAAAAAGATTTGATCTTTGAGAGAGAGTCCCTTTTAAAATGCAAATACCCCTGGGAGAGGTCAGATCTTAGTTCACATCTAACATCTTAATTATCAATTAGCACCTTAGTTAGGCTTAGTTCACATTTGCTGAAAAGGAGGAGCCCCTGACTAAAAGTAATAAATCTGTAAGAAATTAGCATTTATAATATTATCCTTAGTATTGTTGACGTTATTATTATTATTATTGGCAGCTATATTATTATTATTGGCAGATGTAATATTATTTAGTGCCAGGAATTGTTCTAAGTGCTTTGCAAATATAAATTTCTCTAATTCCCTCAATAACCCAGGGTCTTAATATCACTGTTATTTTATAGATAAGAAAACTGAGGTATGTGGAGCATAAATAATTTGCCTAGGTCACATAGTAATTACAGCCAGGTGTTAAACTCAGGCATTTAGATTCCAGAGTGTGTTCTCTAACCATTTGCTGTGATACCATTCCCCTGCTGTATTGCCTGTCAGAGAGATGGCATCTGATGAACATTTCACCTTTTTCACAATTTTGCTATTCAATTGTAGGTCACTTCCTGTTGAAGGTCAGAGACCTTGCCGTCATCTAAATAGATATTTTTAGTAACAAATGCTATGAAATAGGAAAATTCCTTATAACCAAGGGAATTTATTTGCACAATATAGAGAAAGGATTAAGGAGGCTAGTGTATAATTTAAACATATGCATGGCATTATCTTTCCTACTTACAACTTATTATATAAGTTAACATGTTCATTATTTTTAGATATTTGAAAATATGGATTAATTGAAAGAAAAAGTAATTTGCAATCCCACTAACCAGAGACTATATATATATATATATATATATATATATATATATATAAATACCACTCTCTCTAAAAATCAATGGAAAGAATATCCTCCAGTGAAAGTTAACAAAAAAATAAATAAAGTAAAATAAAATAAGGCAGTGTAGTGACCTGAAATAAAATCTACTTACAAAAATTTAGAATGAAATAATTTTTCTTTAGTGTAAGTAAAAAGAATTTCCCTCTTCATCTATTTAAGAAGTTGAATATTGGCCCTAGCCGATTTGGCTCAGTGGATAGAGTGTCGGCCTGCAGACTCAAGGGTCCTGGGTTCGATTCCAGTCAAGGGCATGTACCTTGGTTTCAAGCACATCCCCAGTAGGGAGTGTGCAGGAGGCAGCTGATCGATGCTTCTCTCTCATCCATGTTTCTAACTCTCTATCCCTCTGCCTCCCTCTCTGTAAAAAATCAATAAAATATATTTTTTTAAAAAGTTGAATATTGTCCATTACTTGCCAGAAACAATTGTTTAATTAAATTATCTGTGTTCTTTATATGATCCTTTTAAAATAAAAATAGAGGAGTGCCCTAGAGTCTTCTCTTAATCTCTATATTGAATCAGTTCTTTCAACCAATGTTTGTTCAGTACTGATCTCTCTCTGTTCCCATCCTTGCTTCATCACTGCTGCAGCTTTAATTTCCTTTCAGCATCTGGAGTAGCACCTGTCCCTCTAGATCTGCAATTCAGATCCCTCTGCAACCACCTATCTGATCATGGCATTCTCCTCTATAGAATACTCAGTGGCTTTTTTATTGACCATAGGTTCTGGTAGCAGGGTTGGAAATGTTTGGGAATTCTTCAGTTTCCAGGTCTAAAAGGCAAGTAGGGGATATGTGCCGGTTCCAAGGGGTCACATACTGTTGTCTCTGCTAACTTCACATAATGGGGAGAGGGCTAGAGCAGGGGACTCCTAAAATGTCAGATCTGGGCCCTTGTTGTGTGAGTGTAAAAGCAGAGAGTGCAGCTGCTGTGTGGAGAGTAAACTTTTGGTGGCAACAGGAGTCAAAGCTGGGGGACCATTTAGGAGCCTTATTGCAGTAATTCAGGTGAAGACTCATTTATGGCTTGGACCTGGGTGGTAGTAGTAGAGGTATTGAGTAGTCTTATTCTAGATAAGTTTTGAAGGTAGAGCCAACCATATTTCATGAACAATTGGTGGGGGATAGTGAAAGAGGAGTCATTAATGACTCCAAGATTTTTTTAAAAATATATTTTATTGAAAGGGAGAGGGATAGAGAGTTAGAAACATCGATGAGAGAGAAACATCGGTCAGCTGCCTCCAGCACACCTCCCACTGGGGATGTGCCCGCAACCAAGGTACATGCCCTTGACTGAAATCGAACCCGGGACCCTTCAGTCCATAGGCTGATGCTCTATCCACTGAGCCAAACCGGTCAGGGCATGACTCCCAAGATTTTTAACCTCAGTACCTGGAAACATATTAGATAATGGAGCGTAGTAATCACTGATGTCTTAATTTTGCCATTAGCAGTTGAGTGTTAGGAGATCTAATAAAATCCTATCTTTGGCCATATTTTTTGACATCAGGAAATTTTGAGGGAAGATAAGTAAATTTAAAACATGTGGTTGAAATATGTGCACATGTGAATGTTGGGACTGGTCAGTCTTAAGTCCATATTCAGGGATACCCTATATCTAAAAGTTAAGAAATGGAGGGAGGGAGAAGGGGATGTCTTTGGTGGCTAGGTAGGAGATTTCGCAAAAAAGAGATGGAAAGAAACCAAAAATCTACTTTACCTTTGCAGTTTTCTAAGGGCCCTCTCTAGGTGGTACCCACAAGTACCTTTTAAATTCATGTTGTTTTGCTGCCCTAAAAATTAAAGCATTGATCATGCTACATACAATGTTCTGAGTGTTTTGTAACCAGGTCCCCACCTGTGACCAGAAATTTGTGTTCAGTGTATATTAAAACAATAAAGAAAATGTTTTGTGATCCCTGCTTTTAACTAGATTTCGGTTCCCTATGTTTAACTACTGTAGCAGAAGTGTTCCTGACTTTATCTGATAAAGGAACAAGTTTCAGTGTCAAAATCATATAGGTGATAGGGGGAAGAGTTTTGTTTGTTTTGTTTTATTATGTTGACTTTGTGTTGTGTTGTTTTTTAGAATAAGCTTTCAATTTCAGATAATGCTTAGTTAAGCCTACCAGAATGTAAAGTTCATTATATTGCCATCCACTTTGTATTTTTTCTCTTTTTACTTGCTTACAAGTTCTAGCACATTCCTGAGTCTACTCAAACACAAAGGCATTCTCCCCTTCTGTCTTTCTCTCTCCCTAAGGCAAACTGTCAAAGTTTATCAGATCAGAGTATGTTTTAGAGTCTTGAATTAAAGGTCATTATTGATTTACTAATGGAAAGCGAAGTTTAAAAATGGTAATTAAGTAAAATATGAAATATGATTTATTTACATGAATAGAAGAGAATATTAAGATGCATTCACTATAGCCACCATTATATAGCTACCATTTATTGAGCATTTACTGTGTGTCAGATAGTTTATGTCAATTCTTCTGCAATTTGAAGTTGGTATGATTTTTCCCTGTTTTACAGATGAAGTTTAGAGAAGTTAAAATATTTACTCAACTCAGACATATAATGGTATGTGGAGAGGTTAAATTCAGACCTAAGTTTTTCTGCTTCAAAAAACCTATGCTTTTAACTATGAGTACGTTTTAGTAACTCCATGTAGTGTTTTCAGAACATAGATATTAGAGATATATTTTGGTCTTGCCAGCCCCAATCTTAAGCTGCCCTCACACTATTAGGTAGATAGTGGCAGAAAATTTAAAAATAGGCTGATGCTCTGGTTCTCAACCTTCCTAATGCCGCGCCCCTTTAATACAGTTCCTCATGTTGTGGTGACCCCCCAACCATAAAATTATTTTCGTTGCTACTTCATAACTGTAATTTTGCTACTGTTATGAATCATAATGTAAATATCTGATATGCAGGATGTATTTTCATTGTTCGCGACCCACAGGTTGAGAACCACTGCGGGAAATAAGGTGGAGAGAAGTCTGCATGCAGCAAGGGAAATGTGAGAACTGCCTATGGTATTATGACAGGCCTAAAATAGGAGCAGAAGCAGCAAATTTATAAAATTATTCTTGGAAAAATACCTCATAAAAACAGAAAAATATTGGCTTCTTATTTTATTAAAATTGACAGTGTTCTGCTTAGTTTTCAGATGCTTCAAGAATGAACAGAGACTGATTTGGATTATGTATTTCTCAGCTAGACTAAATAAATGTTAACTATGGATAAATGCAAACACATTGGACAGTTGCAGCTTGCTCAAGACCATTCCATTCTCAACCCTCAGAAATGGCATTGTGTGAACTGCAATACAAGTGAGTCGATTTGGGCTTGCCTTAGCTGTTCCCATGTTGCCTGTGGGAGATATATTGAAGAACATGCTGTCAAGCACTTTCAAGAAAGCAGTCATCCTGTTGCAATAGAGGTGAATTATATGTATGTTTTTTGTTACCTTTGTGATGATTATGTTCTTAATGATAATGCAGCTGGAGACCTGAAGTTACTACGAAGTACATTAAGTGCAATTAAAAGTCAAAATTATCACTGCACCACTCGCAGGGAAAGGGTTTTACAATCTATCGGCATAAGTGGTGATTCTTGTTTCTTACATGATGGTGCCCAATCTCTGCTTCAAAATGAAGATCAAATGTATACTGCTCTTTGGCACAGGAGAAGAATCCTAATGGGTAAAATTTTTCGAATTTGGTTTGAACAGTCACCCATTGGAAGAAAAAGGCAAGAAGAAAAATATCAGGAAAAAATAGAAAATAGAGAAGTGAAGAAAAGACGGCAAGAATTAGAGCATCGAGTTAAAGCAGAATTGGAAAGTATGCCTCCAAGAAAGAGTCTACGTTTGCAAGGTCTAGCTCTGTCCACCACAATAGAATTAGTTCCTGTTCAAGAACCACTACTAACCTCAGCATCACCAGCAAAAGATCAAGTAGTATCTACCTCAGAGGACGTAAGATATAAAAAAGCCAGTGACCCCTCAATTAAACAAAGGCCAATTGTCATTCCTGGTGTAACAGGATTAAGAAATTTGGGAAATACTTGCTATATGAATTCTGTTCTTCAAGTGTTGAGTCATTTACTTATTTTTCGACAATGTTTCTTAAAACTTGATCTGAACCAATGGCTGTCTGTGACAACGAATGATAAGACAAAATCATCTTATAAGCATCCACCAATCACAGATACAGTTTATCAAGTGAATGAATGCCAAGAAAAAGATATGTTCTCTGTTCACTCCAGACATCCAAGTTTATCATCCAGACTAAGTGTTGGAACATCGAAGAGTAGAAAGATGGAACTTATTCAGCCATGGAAGTCAAGTTCACAATACATTTCTCTCTGTCATGAATTGCATACTTTTTTATGATTTTCATTGTAGGGACTTCATAAAGTGAAGCCTAAAAGATGCATATTCTCTATCTCATACAAGAGTAGGGAACCTTTTTCTGCCAAGGGCCATTTGGATATTTATTACATCATTCACAGGCCATACAAAATTATCAACTTAAAAATTAGCCTGCTATATTTTGTCAAACATTTCATTAACTCCTAATGCCTTGGCAGGGCCAGACCAAATGATTTCTCGGGTCTTATACAGCCTGCGGGCTGCATGTTCCCCACCCCTGATCTAGTGTGTTAGAGCTAGTACTGTTTTCAAGTCAAAATAGATTACTTTCACAGATATGTATAAAGTCAGCTCATTTTTTATAGTTTCCTTCATGAATCATTGGAAGTAGTTTCATGTCCATCGTATGAAAGCTTTTTTTGTGGAGAAGGGAAATTAGGAAACAGAGCTTCTTAGGTTAACTATATTATATTTATTCATTGAGAGGTTGAGAAAGCGGGGGGTGGGAGGGGAAGTTAATCCTACAGGGAACAAATTTGAAGATGCTGATGCTATTCAAGCATCAACTGCATTTCATATTGTGTGGAATGATCTATAAAGTCTGTCTTCAATTATTCAGAATT